TAAAGGAGCTCGAGCCATCACGCTTATAATAATAATAATATTAAAAATAATAATAATAATATTAATAATAATACTTGGAATTATAATTAGAAATAGACTAGGGGATACCCTGAACCCTCTTGTACGAGCTTCCTCAACTGGACTCGAACCTGTAACCAACCAACTACTTGCTACCGTCTCTACTTTACAGCCATACAATTGACGGAGTGGCGAGAGCTATAAAATGAAAGATTTACTCTTCTATAAGTTACATGTCAAATTTGGTAACTCACGACATTAAAAACCTTACAGATACAGATACAGAAAGAATATATAGACTTTATGCGGTCGGAGATGCTTCCGTCTGCCTGTTACATACATTTGCACAAATACATGATACCCTTTTTACCCATTTTCAATGGGTTCAGGGTATAAACAGCTTTTCATATTTAATTAATTAACATATATTTAATGATTATTTATTTAATTTAAATTTCTTTAAATTATACTTTGATTGTGTATCTCTTAAACTTTAATTTTTACTCATATTTGTTCAAATAAAGTTAGCTCGGGAGTTTAACATTTTCTTATTAAACATCAAATACAAAGCTGAAGCCCAATCTGATATTCTCAACTAATATGTTTAATGAATTATATGCGTTTCTGCAGAGTTGAAATAGGGTATTTACTGTTCGGATTGGCAAATCTAAACTTTTTGTGAGTCGCTCAAAAACGAGAACAAAACATTTGTTTCGTGTGGCTCGTTTGGATTTGTGCCACGCCCGCGTATTTATTTTATGGCGCCAGACATTTGGCTAATGGCTGCAACACGATGTTGCCACACACAAAAGGTCAACTGCACAAACTCAAAGACGAGGCAACGTTAATTTCTCGAAAAACCGACAACAAACAGTCACAATCAGCCCTTGGGCTGGGGATATGGTTGCAAAACCTCCTACCCAGTTACACAAGAAAACACTTAAAAGTTGAAGCTGTGAAATGTATTCCACAATTTGCTGTTAATCAAATTCAGTTGCAATTATATTTCGGAATTTCTTTAATATGTGACACTTAAAGTTCAAGTACAATTTTCTTGGCTAATTTAATATATATATATATATAAAGATATATAAATACGGGTATATATTTAACAGGCAGCTGTCTCTCTTACCTGAGCCAATTTATCAATAAAGTGACGCCAGTCGCGGCAACCCTCTTCAACTCATCAATTAAAACTATGGACTTATATACACCAGCTGGTAAAACAGGCGCAACGTCAACGTTTCAGTTTAACGAAAACACAAATATAGGCAGTCCACTCCCCACCCCCCCGAACCCTAACTCCATCATCGACTCGCCCATCCCCTGCTACCCGGCACATGCTAACCGAATTGTTTTCGTTGCCTCGTTTACCCTTTGACTTTCAGAGTTCGTTTTTGGCTGTTGTTGTGTATCTTTTAAGCAGGCGAAATTCGCAAAAATTCTGAAAGCGAACGCAAACAAAACAAACAAATACACGGGCCCCATGGCAAGGGGACGCGGTGGGGTGTGGTGGGGGTGGTTCCCTGTTGCCCAACCCTTACACAGTTGACCTTTGCACAGTCAAGCTGATGGCTGACTGCCATCCCAAGCCCCGCTCACCTGCTCACCTGTGCGCCAGCGTCCTTGTCATCATCATCATAATCATCATCATCATCGTATCGTTAGGGTTACCCCCATGACCCCCTGACCCGACTACTCCGCTTCTCTCATACCATCACACTTTATGCCTTGCTGCAAACTTTGAAAATTATAATTTAATTTGAATGTCATTAAAATTTGTGCGGCGTAAGTTAAGCACCCCATCCCTCCGCCCTTGGTTTTACCCTTTCTTGTATATAATTGCTAGCAAAATATAATATACAAAGCATTAAGACTAACATTCTGTAATCAAGGTTAGAAAAACAGGTTTGAATCTCGCTGGTTCAAGCCCGAATTTCTGTTTTTTTTTTTACATGTTGAACATGACCTCGAACCAAACTAGATGCGCATAAAAAGGTAACCTAGGTCGAAGCCAAAATAAAAATATTTATTTTTTCACTTAAAACTGTTTTCAATGTGAGAAAATGTGGTTCGAAGCTTGAATAGAAACCGATTTGGTTCGAACGGTGAGCCGAGCTGCCGAGCATTGCATTTATTGTCTTGCAGTCGAGATTATATTTTGTGATATAAGAGTCCCATGATCTTACATTTCATATCATATAAAAATATAGAGTTCGCCTCCTCGTCCTTCTCCATCCTTTTTTCTATTATGAAAAATTTAATCAAAATGTTGCTGGCACAGCTAAAGTTGAGAGCATAAATTGTGTGTGGCATAAAAATTAAATAAAATAAATGAAACTTAATTTCAAAACTGACGTCTTGTGCCCCTCCGTGCCGTGATAACCCCCTCTAAGCTCCCCCTTGGCTCATAGTGCTCACATAAAAAATGCGCATTTTTATGAAAAAGTTTTTAGTGAAGCTGGCAAGTGGAAGCACCGCAAACGACGCGGAAAAACTGCTGCAACCGCAAGAAATTAAGAAAATATTCACTTAGGCACTCGGCGCCTTATCTGCGGGCCAACAGCCGCGACAGGCGCAGACGCTTCTTGCCACTTGGATAAAATCCACAACAAACAGAAAATAAATGAAAAAAGGAGAAGAAAAAACGAAATGCGTTCTAAAACGACTTTTCCTGGAATTGAAGTTGGGCGTTGAGTGGAAACTCTCCCCCAACAAAGTTTGTAACTGTCAAGTGCAACAGTGGCTGAAAAAACAAAAAATCCAACTTGAAGTCTGGCATTCGCGAGCAGCTTGTTTTAAGAATTCCAATTGACTTAATTTAAGAGAAATGCAGTCGACTCCTAATCACATTTTAATTGTGCTGCAAAATAATATTTAAATTAGTGCGGCGCCAGGAAGCAGTAGACACTGGCACGGCGACCACCAATAGCTATTATACATATACATATATATATATATTTATACATACTTTGTTTCCTAATGGGCTGCCATCATGCAATCCAGCTGCTGGCTCAAGGACAAGGCAGGGGCAGTCAATACGAAATGCTCCTTGCCACGAAACGGAAATAGGAAACCCCAACTGCAGCCTCTGATGGTGTGTGTGTGTGTGTGTGTGTTGCAGCATTCGGGAATTACTCTAGCAATTAACTAAACCGATCCGTCTGAAGATTACATATCATTGGAAAGATAGCAGAAAACGTCCTTGTTGAAATCTTCAGTAACTGTCAGTACTCAGTCCACATATCTTCAGCAAAGCATAATTTAAAGGTGATTCGGGCTTCAGCTTATGTTTAAAATCAACTAATTGCCTTACGGTTCGATTCTTGTGCCTGGTTTTCCACATGCATGTACCCATTTTTTGATTCGAACCTGGCGCTTGCATATATTTTTTTTAATAAAACAATTAAATTGTTTACTAAACGTCGCGCGCAAGTTCTACGGAAAATATTGTAAGACAAATATTTTGATATACAAAATGCGCGCTAAATTTGATCTGGCAGCTATCTATGCTTTGTTTCTGGGTCTTCCTAAAAAGTTTTGCATTTCAACAAAACAAGTTTTTAATTAAAATGAAACTGGGAAACTGTTTTAGTTTAAATTGCAATTCATAGTAAACATAATATGGAATTCCGTGCTCCATATGCTTTGATTAAAAACAGGCAAGTTTTTCATAAAAAAGTAATAATTGGTCCTGGAAGCTCTATGATATGTTAGTCGGATGCTGTCATGGCCAATAGGAAGTTAACAAAGCTGGTAATTCGTATGAATAGGTTACCTTGAAATTTGAGATCTAATGTATTTCTATGATCTCTATGTGATATGTGATAGAGTATGTATATTGCATATGGTTGGGATTGCAGTTTACTTTGTAGGGAGATCTTATGCCCTTTATATTTTGTGACAAAATTTTAGCTCGCTTAAAGAGGGTAAATATATGCAAGGACTTTTTTGAAATTCTTATAGATTTAAAGAAATATATAAGAAAATTATGTATTATTATTATAATGATTTATTATTATTATTTATTATTATCATTATCTGTATTATTATTATCATTGTTATTCTTAGTATTTTTTTATTATTATCATTATTATTGCGTCTCGGAAAAGAAAATTTTTTTGTTCTCTAAATAATACCTTTATGATTAATACTACTATTATTTTAACTTATATTCTTATAATTCTTAATAATTTTATTAATACCCTTCCTTATTAAAAGAGCTGGCTACTTTGGTTCACTAAATACATCCATACACGAGCCTCACTTTTTGCCCACTTTCCCAGCTCCACTACCAATAAAGGGGTTTTATTTTTTAGGATGATTCTAGCTGAGTCTGTTGCGAAATTTGTTCAAGTTGCTAAGACTGGTCTCAGCTTGGATACACTTTGATGTTTATGGTCCTTTAAATGCTGTAATTGACAAGTCAAGTATGTATAAAAAAATATATATATATATATATATATTTCATATTTATATATATGTGAATACATTTAACGATGTTCTTGCATGCGCAAAGGACAGAAAAACAGCAGCTTTAGAAAACAAAACTCGACACTTGAGTGTGGCCCCGATATGAAACATATAACAAAATATATATATTTGTATATACATATAAATTCAAACATGTATATGTATACGCAAGTGAGTGGTTAGCCAGTGAGCCGGTGAGTGGGGCTGGGCTGTGGCACTCAAAACTTTGAATGCGAGCCGAGAGCAGAGCGCAGCCTCCAGTTTTCTATGCTTGTTGCTATTGCATCTTTGCTCGAGTGGTAAACATGCAACACACAGTCACACACGCAGACACAGCAGCGCAAACATACCTAAATATCGTAGCATACAAATGGGGGCAACCGAGTGGCAGCCAAGCCAAGTCAACATGCACTTGTGGCAGCAACAGCAGCAGCAGCCGTAGCCAACTGTGGCAGCTGTGGCAACTGGGAAAACTAAGACAAATAACTTAATGCCTTTTCTATTTGCAGTTCAAACAATAGAGCCGCTGCCACGGGGAGGCGCCACAAAAGTGCAACAGCTGCACAAAAACTGGAAACGAAACGAACTGAAACAAAAGCCCAAAAGTCAAAGTAAACCCAGACAGACAGCGAGGTACAGAGGGCGAGCCAGTGCAAAACAGGGAGAGAGCTGCAGAGAGAGAGAGAGAGAGAAAGAGTGGCGGAGCGTGAGAGAGACAGAGAGGGGCAGTGTTGGAAGAATGTGTAGTGCAGAGTCCACACGGCAGCTTCAAGTGGCAACAACAACAACGGCAGCAGCAACAAACACAACCGGATAATAAGCATAAGAGGCAACAACAGCAGCAGCAACACCAACAAAAGCTGCAACGAGTGCGTCAAGTATTTGCGGTAGGTTGCAGCGGGGGAAGCGCTGGCGGAGCGCAGGCCTGTGCCAGCAAACAGCACCATAAAATCCAAAGCCCAAAACTTAATCCTCAAACCTAATCCGAAAACCAAACGGAAACAGCAGCAACAGCAACTGCAGCCAGACCGACGTCAAGCGGTGGCAAGTGGCAAGTGGCAACGAGGTGACGTCACAGGCCGCTAACTAGGACACTCGCGAATCTCGTTAGCCGCGCTCGCATCCTTTGCATCCTTCCCATCCGCTTCCGCATCGACATCCGCGACATGGTCTCTCGGCTGCGTCTCCACTCGCTGGCCGCCGCGCTCTTCGTGCTGTCGCTGCAACTGTCCAGTGTCTGCGGCATCATCGATCGTTTGGTGGTGCAGACCAGCTCCGGACCGGTGCGTGGCCGTTCGGTGACGGTGCAGGGACGTGAGGTGCATGTCTATACGGGCATACCCTATGCCAAGCCGCCAATCGATGATTTACGCTTTCGCAAACCGGTGCCGGCCGAGCCCTGGCACGGCGTTTTGGATGCCACACGCCTCTCGGCCACCTGCGTGCAGGAGCGGTAAGTTGAGCGGATTGCGCTCGTTTAGCTCTGCAGATGTAGTTGACCTAGAATTCGGCATGCAATACTGCCGTTGACCCAACTAGCTGCCAGTGACGTCATTGCGACTGCAATGCATCTAAGCCGGCCAAAACTGACAAATCAAATAAATATATGTATATATCTAAATTAAGTGCGTGTCTACCCTATGTATTTTATATACTTGACATTCAGCTGTTCATACTTAAAATCGAAGAGTAACATATTGAAAATAGTTCGATTAATGAGCAGCATATTTATTATTTAAAATTAAATTAAAATAATCTTATTAGACTGGGTTAAAAAAGAATACATAATATTAGAATTAGCATATATATAATAGTCCAAAAAAGGAGAAAGAAAAATGTGTTGAAATTTATTTAGAATAGAGGGAAAAAACAACAATATTATATTCAATTATTATAAATAATTAGGGTAGTAAGATAGTGATTGGAAATTACTGACCAGATGGGGAATATTTTATCGTCTGTCCGGCCAGCTTTGCATACTGAGTATAAATAATTATATTAATAAATAGCTTGCCTGTGGAAAATATTTGCAGCTGTTACCGCCACTCAGAACGATTTCCAAATACTTGAAATTTGAATCTTAGGGAAATCTAATAAATGATTATAGTCTGACTTTTAAGTGCTATTCAGAAAAAAGTTTCGTAATTGGAAAATAACAGCTTCAACTTTATTAAAACCTAAAACCTAGGCATATATAAATATGGATAAATTTAAGGGATCGAAAATAATTGTTATATATATATTCCATCAAAAAAAGTGTCTTTCATCACCAAGCAAAGCAATTATTGACTCTAAAACTGCGTTTCTTGGGCAGTGATTCTCAAACTGTCTTTGAGACATAGCTAACCGCCTGCTGGTGGGCATGACCACAAAATTGATTAAATTTAACTAGCCCAAGAACAAACGAGTATATATCCACAAATTGGAGTTACTTGCCCTAAAAACGGCGTTCAGATGGACAGACAGAAAGAACGACAATAATTGTCTGAAACCAGAACCGAGTAAAGATATTTAAAATAAATATTTTTTTTACATTTTGTTTGCTTTACAGTTATTATGGAAACAACTTAAATAAAAATTAAAATTAATTAATAAATACTACTTATTCTACTGTTAGGTCCTACATATTAAAATTTAAAATTAGTCTAAATGTTCCATCGAATAAGAGAGCATCTTATCTTTATGTTCTGAAATACACTTTCGAGGAAATTCTTTAAATTGGGGCTTGGAGTCTCTAGTTCACCAAGAATTGTGCTTAGATGCACAGTCAGACCGATAGACGGAAATAATAATATAAGTCAGAATATTCTATAGGAAAGTGTTTATGTTCTTAATTCCGTTTTCGCATGCATTCCACGAATTGCGATTACTCGCGCATAAATCTAAAGTTTAGTCGAAAACGTCGGACACAGACTGATAGACGAAAAATGTCTAAAAGACAAAACTTACTTAATTAAAGAACAGACTAATCTAAATAATAGAAAATAAAACAGAAGCAGTAATGATGAGTAGAATTGGTAATTCTCAGTAACTTTCTTTATGTCTTACATTTGTTATATATTAAATTGACGGTTATTAAAGAAAACTAAATATGTGTATGAATAGTACAACTTATTCCACAGTTAACTCTATCATCTTAGTACCGTTGTACTTAGTCTTAATTTATGTAGATTCTTCATGTGGACATTTATTTTTATGGAAAATGCGAATTAGATGATATATGCTATATATCTATATTCTTTATACTGAATTAATAAAGTTTAGTTCCTTTAAGCTCAAACATTTCATAGCACTCCACAAAAATTAATAGCATACTTTTTAGAGTAAAATATACATTTAAAGAGCCCCTTTGGGGAGTTGCCTAAAATGTTTAAAAATGCAGACTTAACTAACTTATTTAAAGCTCGGATTTATTTTGTTGAAATAACATTTATTAAACCGATAAAAAAATTAGAGAAAATCAGTATAATAAAATATCAGAGATGGACACGTATGTAATTGACAATTATTAGTTCCGTGTTACTTTATTTTAATGTAGGCTTATTCTTAATATGCTAATTTTTTTGCATGGCGAAATCGAATTAGATGATATATATAAATATATATACACTTACTATATATACTAGATGATATTATAAATATATACACATTTTATAATATATGTATAGTGTCTCTATTAGTAGACTGCCTTTACGCCCAAACCCAAATATTCTCTTCACAGTTTGGTCGATATGCACGGAATGTTTAGGCAAGCAGTTTGGCAAGAAAAGCATTTCAGGCGAGTCTCTAGTAAATTCTATCTTTGATCAATTTCAGATACACAAAAAGTACTTAATAGAGAGACTAACCTGGTCTTTTAGTTAACATAAATCAATTAGCCTCGACTGGAGCTCAGCTCTTTGTGGCCACAAATCAGTCTAATGAATTTCAAAAGCTATTCTCATTTGCCATACACAAAGACATTACGAGTGTGCGTGCGCGTGTGTGTTTGTGTGTGTGGCATAACGGAAATTAGACAAATATAGAGATACAAATAGAGATTGAGAGATAGAGATAGAGACAGAGACAGAGATAGGGACAGACGAACGGAGACAGAGTAGAATCGCCTTTTCCGGTTTGCTATAAATTACTTTTTATGCGAAGTGCCAAAGTTAATTTCAATTGACACGAAACCAAACACACCCACAGAAAACGAACCAAACGGATATGAATTTATTGAATCACACTCAAACACACACTTACAGCCAGCCAGAGCGATGCGTAGTGGCCAGTCTTGTTTGAATGCTTGTTTGAATATATGTATATATCGATTCGAGGGATTCAACATTTATAGGGCAAACGAACTATGTTGCTAGTGGAGGAGGGGCGGGACAGGTACCAGGGTGTGTACAGATGTGTGTGTGTGTGTGCCCTCGAAAAATGGCACAGTGAAAGTAAAACAGGCAAATCAGAAGAGTGCAAATAAAAATAAATAACACAGCTGGTTACTTTGTCGTAATTGGCACGAGCCACACAGCTACACTTGGAGAAACAGTTGCCTTTAATTGTGTTAAGATCGATATTGAGCTTAGACAGATCTTTCCTGGTCATCTCTGATTTCAAAAGTCACTTACAATGTTGAAAAATTAATAACGAAAACAGGTCCTTTAAGCAAATTATACTTATTTTAAGAATTCTCAAACTAGAAATTTCCATAAATAGTTCTAAATGTAAGTAGAACGTAATTTATTAAACAAATATACTAGTTATGTGCTTAAAAAAATACGAAAACTCTTGATTTCAGTACAACATATTTATTTTAAGCATTTGCATACTTAGGCATTAAAAGTCAAAACTTTAAGTAAAAGTCAAATTATTTTTCCTGTATTTGATAATATTAAGACAAAGGGAATAGATAGTTTTAAAAACTAAATTTGTTTTCTTAAGTTAAGAAATTTCAAACAATATTGGAATTCGACTTAATTTAATCGCAATACCTAAATACCTTTTACTGTTAGACTCTGAATTGATCCCACGCTCTCCCTGCATTCCCTTAGCTATGAATACTTTCCGGGCTTCTCCGGTGAGGAAATCTGGAATCCCAATACCAATGTATCCGAGGACTGTCTGTATATAAATGTTTGGGCGCCGGCGAAGGCGCGTCTGCGTCATGGACGCGGTGCCAATGGAGCCGAGGTATGTGCTAGAGAGTCTTTGCATCCTTTCTCTTGAAGTAATCCTCTTTTTGTCACTCCGGCAGCACTCTGGCAACAAGCAGGCCGACACTGAGCATCTCATACACAATGGCAATCCGCAGAACACGACCAACGGGCTGCCCATCCTCATATGGATCTATGGTGGGGGCTTCATGACCGGCTCGGCCACCCTGGATATTTACAATGCGGACATTATGTCTGCCGTGGGCAATGTGATCGTTGCCTCGTTTCAATATCGAGTGGGCGCATTTGGTTTTCTGCATTTGGCGCCAGAGATGCCGGCAGAGTTTGCGGAGGAGGCGCCCGGCAATGTGGGCCTGTGGGATCAGGCCTTGGCCATACGCTGGATAAAGGATAATGCGCATGCCTTTGGCGGGAATCCCGAGTGGATGACATTGTTTGGCGAGTCCGCAGGCTCGAGTTCGGTGAATGCACAGCTCATGTCGCCGGTCACCAAAGGCGTGGTCAAGCGCGGCATGATGCAGTCGGGCACCATGAATGCGCCCTGGAGTCACATGACATCCGCCAAAGCGCTGGAGATTGGTAAATCTCTGATCAATGACTGCAACTGCAATGCCTCCATGCTGAAGGTAAGCCAAGCTCGCTCTCCATCTTTCTCTGCCGCTCTCTCTTGCTCTTATTTTTAATAATCATAAATCTCTCCCCGTACAGACCAATCCGGCTCATGTGATGACCTGCATGCGCGCTGTGGACGCCAAGACCATATCGGTGCAGCAGTGGAACTCCTACTCGGGCATACTCAGCTTCCCATCGGCGCCAACCATTGATGGCGCCTTCTTGCCCGCAGATCCCATGACACTGATGAAGACGGCGGATCTAAAGGATTATGATATACTCATGGGCAATGTCAGAGATGAGGGTAAGTTTTTATGTGATCGCCCACAATTAAATAATAAGTCTTTAGTTTTAGTTCCACTTTAATATTTGTTTTATATTTAGATATTGAGACTAAACAATAGAAGCATTCCTGAAGCAAGGCTAAAGTTTCAAAATGACATTTTAATCTTGTTCTTTCTCTTTGCTCTATAATATTGCTTTGTAGTAGCTGTAGCTTTTGTATGAATGTTTGTGTGTATTTCAGTGTTGTTAAATCAATTTAACTCACACATAGTGTTGTGAAACCAATTTTATGCATTATTTCAATAGTTTTCAAGTTAGTTTGCTTGGAAATACTCAATTTTTGCAATGTCAAATATCTTTGAAGACCCAGATGCTAATTCAAGCAGAACCTTCGGTTTTTTAAATTAACTTTTCTTTAATTGCATTTCAATTGTAGTAAGCTCTATTTCCGGCAATCATATGATAAATAAGTTAGAATGCTCGCTTCAGGAGTGCGAGGGAGGGAATGGGGGAAGTATCCAAAAGGAACCAAATCAGTATACACTAGAGATGAACACACATATTAAGTTTGGTGTACCGCGCTCTCATAATCTTCGAGCTATGCTTAGAAAACATAGTCTTAAGATCGGTATTTATCGATATTAATCGATAGTATTAGTATTGTCCGAGGTCAACGAGTTCACACGGACGGTCAGGTCTGGATCGACTTGTCGTTGTGATAGAGAATATATTTACTCTCCTTCCTTTTACATACATTTGCATAAATACTTTAAAACCCATTTAAGCCATTTTCATTGAGTTCAGCGTACAAAAGAAAAACGTAAATTTTTTTAAGCTTGTGCTACCAAAATCCTTGGGTTAGTTGAATTGTTGCTTACCTTTTCAGCATGTTTTTCACTGTATTCATAGCGTGGACAACAACTTAATCAAACTTTGCTCGATTTGCTGTCCAGTGCTTTTTAAACCCCAGCCCGCTTGCCTGCTCTTGGCTAACAATAGCCTGACACCCTCCCATCGCCCCTTCCCGTCTCTCCAACCATCGTTTCCACATTGTTGCAATTGTATTTTTGGCATCGCCTTTGCTGCTGACGTCAGCAGTGTGCCAAATTTTCGCAAGTGGCAGCTGTGCTTGGCCAAAATGTAGCTGCAACCAGTCGCCATTATGTTCATGCTGCGGCAACCCTCATTCTCGCCCCCCATGCCCTCTATCGCCCCTGCCAGTGTCACATTTCTTGCAGCTGCATCCATTTGTGATTTTATTACTTTTTGTTTAGTTTTCTTTTTTCTGTGCTCTTTGCTGCCACCACAAAAGCCAAAGCTTTGCTACCGTCGTTTTATGTTGCTGCCCGCCCGTTTAGGGCGTGGCAGCCGCCTCTTGGCCGCTTGTTTGTATGCTTTATGGCACACTGTACATTACTGGCTTACAGACAAGTTTGCCTGGCTTTCTGTGTTGTTGCCTCACAAAATGCACTTTGTGTAATGGCTGCGGCTTGTGGCAGCTCACTCGAAACGTGCCACAAATCATGTAAGCTTTAAGAAAAACTCGACCCAAAGTCAAATTTGTCAACGCAGCAGCAAACAGCAGCCAGCAGCAGGCGCCTGGAAAACCCGAAGGAAACTTCAGCGCATACGCATGAAATTCACAAGGGGCTTGCCAGACTCATGCACGCAGCACGCCCTCGGAAGGGGCTGTGGGCGGCGAGAGTCTTCTTCAGTCGAATCGGGGGCAATGTCAGGCGGAAGCGCCGGACTGCTCAGCCATGCGGAGCGGCATCATAAATTATTTAAATATATACCGTTAGCTGCAACGGCAGCTGAAAATCGTAGTTCAGCATGTTGCATCCACCAAATGATGGGGCACGTGCTGCAGCTACTGCTCTAAGGTCTAACCAGGGGCTGGGGGCATGGTTGCTCAGTATATCAGAGTTAAATAAATTGAGGAGCATTTAGAGTGCACTTTAAAGAGTATTTGTTTACTTGGCTATAGAAAAATATATATTTTAATTAATAAGTTAATAAATTATTGAAAGGTATTTCATCAAATATAGAAAAAATAAAGACAAACGCTGTTAGACAGAATATAAAAATTATGAGTATTTGTAGTGCACTTTAAAAACTATTAATTTTTGCTTGATTTTATGAATAATATACATTTTAATTAATTAGTTAATGGGATAATCAAAAAAGCTGTTCAATGAAATGAGACTTAAATTATGGGCATTTGGAGTCCACTTTAAGGAGTATTTGCTTACCTGGTTATATGAAAAATATACATTTTAATTAATTGGTTTAAAGGTGCATGAAAAAAGGAGCTCAACAAAGTGTAGAACATTTCCATTGAAATTAAATATTAATTAAATTAATTTCAACAACAAAATTTTATAATATGGGCATTTCGAATGCAAATAATGCTTGAATGAACAAATAAATATATAATATTCTCTTTTTATTTAATAAAAATAAATAAGGTATAAAAATATATAAAGAAAATATCTAAACGCATTTTCAATGGTCTTGAGTGTTAAAGCAAATTTACTATTCAAAAAATATTTAAATTGACAAAAGATTTCAGTAATTCAAAACTTAAATGCATTAAACTAACATTATTCTATTATAATTATGAAATTTCTGTTTATGTTAAGATTATGTTATGTTATAATTATGTTAAGCTATGATTTTGTTATGTTATGATAATTTTATGCCATTATAATGTTATGTTATGATTAAGTCAATTGTTTTTAACGAGCCTTAAAGTTAAACTTAACTAAGTTAAAATATTTATTCTCAGTAACAAGTATTTGATATTAAATTCCTTTTAATTTGTAATGCCATCTCACTCTGGCGCGCTTAAAGTACCGTTTGATTTTTAAGCTCCCAACAATAGTGTATTTAATTGAAATCGAAATATTCGTTCAAGCCGAAAAGTATGCAACGAATTTTTCTTCATACTTGAGCGCCTCTGCCCGTTCGGCTTGGGCTGCGGCGGCTGCTGCGTTTCCCACCATTTATTGCGTGTGCGTTTGTGTTTTGTCCTCGTCCTAACGGTAATGCTTACGCTTTGTGTGCATTGTTCGCATTATTCGTGGGAAGCCGCGCGCTATTTAAAAAATTTCCGTTCGTTTTGCTTTCTCTTTCTCATTTTTTTTTTCGCGAACTTTACGTTTGTGTTAGTTGGGTTTTGTTTTCGTATAACAGATTCTCGTGCGCTTTTTGTGCTTTTTCTTTAGAGTCGTTTCGCTTTCATTTTTCTTGTTGCCATTGCTGCTTCGTCATTTCCAGGCGGCAGGCACCGAAACACACAAACACACACACACACGCACACGTGAACACTCACTCACACACACGTACACACGTACAGAGACATAAGCAACGGCACTGACACACACGGCTCGGGGCACTGGCGGTACAGCACGTGCGCTTTTCTGCTCACTTTCACTCAGTGCTTGCAGCTCCTGCTGCTGCTGCCGCTCTCTCTGTCTCTCTCTCTCTCTCTGTCTCGCTCGCTCTTTCGCAGACTCTTTCTCGCTCGCTTGTATTGTCGTGTTATTGTTTTTGTTTTTGCTGCATACTACAGCCACTAGCGCTGCTTTTCTGCTGCTGCTGCTGCTGTTTCTAGCTAAGGTGTGCGTGCCCACAAGACGACCACAACGCAGGCTATGGGCCGCATATAACTGTTTCTCAATGCCTGTGTGCGCGTCTGTGTGTGTGTGTGAGTTCAAGGTCATCTAGCATTTGAAACAAAACACAATAGATTACAATGCGCCGCGCACATAAGAAACATCTTAGTTTTGTAGTTAGCTTCAAATTTTAAAGCTGCTGTAAATTTAACTGAAGGTTTGCTTAATAAAACCACAATCAAACCAGCTTAATTTTTATTTCTATTTAAAGGAAAATTAACAATCAAACAAATTAGTCCTTATACATATCATTATAATTATTAGTATGTATTATTATAATTTTAATATTTATTACATCTTATTTAAATCTAAAACTATTTATTTTTATTTTTAAAATATTTATTTTTATGTTGGAAAGCCTTCCAAAAAGCTTTTTATTTAATTTTGTATTTTATTTTTATTTAACGTAAGATTTTTGCATTCAAATTTTATAATCTATATTTATTTTTATTTCTGTCTGTTTCTCATATAATTATCTGCTCCAAATATTGACTGGTCTTTTCTTGTGGAAACTTTTCCGCATCCTCCGAAAACTTACTTCTCCTTCACATTCTGATTCTTATTTAATTGACACCTCATCATATCGTGTCAACAATGACCTTAGGCATTTGCAAAACGTCGCTTATAGCAATTTACCCCAACCTTATTGCATTTGGTATCATTATAAAACGTTTGCGTAATTGACGGAAATTCTATTTAAAAGCGACTTAGCCAAATGTTTGTTCCCAGAAAGCAGTCGAATTGGATATAACACATGCCCTCGAGCTGCATTACTGCAACTCAAATGTTAAAACTTAACTCACGCACAGTGGGCAGAGCCTCTATAAATGCTATTAAAATAATAATACTAACATTAATTTTCGCAAATAAAACGGTTCACTCTGAATGACTGACTGATTGATGATGAAAGCATAGCCTACAATGAAAGGAAACTTAGAAAGCCTAAATAATTTACAGTTCTTACCACATGTGATGTTAGTGAATGCCAAGATGGAGTGTTGCAAGATTCCATCTGCTAGGGTGGAAAATTGGCGTAAAATTATTGTTTGACATCCACTTTAATTGTTATATGTATTTAAGGCCTGTTTCACCTTTTGCCGGCAATCCGCTAGCCTTGGTGAATATGTTGGTTCAAAATAATTCCTTCTCGGGCGACTTAATGAAAATAATTGGATTGGACAAGGTCAGGATTTAAAGTAACCTGCTTAAGTATACGTATTAAGTATTTTCGAACGTGTACCACTGTGCGTGCGGCGTGAGACTTTCATAATTGCCTGCAATTTGAGGACAATTTCTTTAAACGCTGCTCGATGCTATGATAAAATTAAAAATTAATTATTGACATATAGTCGAGTATGTGTGTGTGTGATATTTGCGTTATGCGCATGTTTTTGCATAATTTTTGGGGCTTGAACCAAAATTAAATCAAACAACAACAAATTGGTTTCAGTCAAACTTGTTGTTGGGTTTTGGCATGGGAAGGCGTGGGGATGACACACATTTCACAGCCATAGAGACTGCACACACATGCGCGCACACACACATACACAGCTATTGGCAGGCAGTCTATTGTTGCTGTTGCTGTTGCCGTTGTCGTTGTCGTTGGCTCATAGGCAGCAATTATGGCTCGTTAGTGTGTTCGTATTTGAAGTGTGCCAGAGACAATGCCAGCAGCAACAGCAACAAGAATAACAGCTAACACAACACAAGCGACGACAACAACAAGTGCCATAAAAATTAAGTTAATAAAAGGCAACGAGACGCTTTGTTCTCGCCCTTGTTGCGGCTGTTGTTGTTGTTGCTTTTGCTTTTGTTGTGGTTGATTTTGTTTATTCTATTTTACCTTTTGTGCACCTCTACAACACACATTGTTGTAATACCCTGTACCCATTGAAAATGGCTAAAAACAAGGGGGATTGTGTTAATTGTATAAAACAGGCTGAAGGAGACATCTTTGATCCGATAAAGTTTTTATATTCTTCATCAGTCTGAAGAGCCGAGGCAATCCAGTCTTATCCTCTGTCTGCATACCTATCGGACCATCCATCTGTCTCAACGCATTGATCTCCAAGAGCGAGAGACTCAAATTTAGAACGAAGGACCTCCTATTGCACGTGCAGATAAAGTTTGTTTCAAATTATCGATAACTCTTCCTTTTTTCATGAAATCGATAAAAATCGATTGGCTTATAAGATCAAGAGATATCGATATGGAGAAATATTGAATCTTTTAGGAAACTACCCCACAAAATACTTATGTATGCCATTAAATTTGTTTTTGAACCTCGGACTAGAAATGTCGCAATTATTGAAGAATGCAGTTCCCAGGGAGGGGCACAGCTGCAGCTGATGTAAATCAGTGCTGGGTCTGCACTTAGGGTATCACTTAGTCGGTCGCGAACGACTGGAGTACTTACACTTATTGTTGTTGCTGTTGTCGTTGCTTTGGTTAATGCAGCGTTAGGGTGTCCTTGGCACGGTTCGTTGATTGCGCCCCCGCGGCAACTTCTAGTGGCAATTGTTTTTCGACTAGCCCCATAGTCAGCTGGCATACATACTTATTATCTGGCCAGTCAAGTTTTAATCATCCCTCTCTCTCTCTCTCTCTCTTTCTCTCTCTCTGTCTATTGCAGGCACCTATTTCTTGCTGTACGATTTCATCGATTACTTTGATAAGGATGATGCCACCGCGCTGCCACGTGACAAGTATCTGGAGATTATGAATAACATATTTGGCAAGGCAACTCAGGCGGAACGCGAGGCCATCATATTTCAGGTGAGTCACACACACACATATGGAACTGTGTCTGACGTCTGTCTAAACTCAATTGGGGCCAAAACGCATCATTGGCTTTGGCTTCCATTGTTGGCAGCTGTCAACGGCAGCCAACTTGTGCCGCATGTAACCACACACAACTTTGCTGCTGATGCTGTGTGTTGCAGTTGCAAATAGTAGCAGCAACCGGCCACCCCCTAACCCAACCATACGCACACCCCGCCAACAGCAGCTGCGTAAACGAGTTAAAAGTGACGTCAATTTGATAAAATTGCATTACGCAAATTTATTCAATTTATTTGCACTGCGGCGCGGAAATTGAATTAAAGCCGCGCTGCATGTTCATTCAATAGCGAAATTGTAGATAAGAAATAAACCAGATATGGCACACAATCAGACACGATAATTGAAAGCACGCAATCAGCAACTAGATAAGAATTAAGAATTAAAAACTGGCACCATGCAATCCAATTTGTTTTTTAATGCAATCAAACAGATTCATTCTATTTTCCATTTTCTTTAGATCTGAGAATTTCATTTAAATATACCGATTCCGGCTAAAGATAATATTTGCGTAATAGTCCACATACATCAGTGAAACATATAGGTTAGCTTAAAAGGTTATTTAAGACAAATAATAATATATCAATTCGAGTTGAAATTAAGCCTGAACCGAACCCCTAAAGTGGAGCTCAGAAAATGCTTGGGCTAAATGAAAGAATAAAAATGTATTCATATGCATATTAAAATAAATTTGGAAAAAATTCCAAATTTTTAAAAATTCTTCAATCGAAACTTGAATTAATAGATGGGAAACCCAGATTCGAAACGTCCATCGAAACAGTGTAAAATTTCGCTGGCCTTACAGGCCTTTACTGAAAATAAAATAATACTAAATAGATTATATTAGAAAGCTATATAAGTTAACTGAATGAGGTAGTATGTAATGGACGTAGTACTGCCTTATCCAAAGGCCTAAGTAGTTAGCATTATTTAAAAAGGTGACTTGATAATTTAAAATTTAAAAAAAAAAAGGTTATAAACTCATAATAAATAATATATAAAGGTCGGCACTAGCGTGAATGACTTGAACTTAATGTAAAAATAAGGAATCTTCATTTGATTTGGACTTTCAATGATTTACTTACATGGCTTATTGATAGGTTATAGTATGTTTAATATTTAACAACTATATCGTATATAATCATTAAAGAAAATAATATAACTGCTAATAAATATTATATAAAATATAACTTTCGGCACTAGCGCAAACTAATTTAACTATTATAACAAGAAAAATTGCCTTTGATTAATCATGTTTTTGAGTTTGGGATTGAATATAATTGAGGGGTTATTGTGAAAGTCCATCTAACTATTTCATTGCCTACAGGGGCCATTCATACCGCAACCTCAATATCCGACTCTGTCAATTGCTTTAAGGACTCGCAAAGCTTATAATTTAGATTTTACTACAATAAGTTGTTTATCTTAAATTTATATTAAATGCTGCCTCTTCGCCTCGATTTTATTTACAGTACACCAGCTGGGAGGGCAATCCGGGCTACCAAAATCAGCAGCAAATTGGACGCGCTGTGGGGGATCACTACTTCACCTGCCCCACCAATGAGTATGCACAGGCGCTGGCCGAGCGAGGCGCCTCCGTGCATTACTATTACTTTACACACGTGAGTAGTGGGTGGTTTTTGGGTGGTTTCGTAGGTGCTGGGGTCTGGGTAAAAGGCATTGCCACTGCGACAGTGGCCCGTGGCCGCAAATCATTAAATATTTCACAGCCTTTGACACGTAAGACGGCGTCGGAGCGCGTGTGTCCAATCGAAATGCGGTCAAATGGGGCGCCACTAGCGCAAAGCGAACACACACACGTACAAACGCATACACATACGTACACACACACACACACACACACACAAACAACGTGAGAAGTATATACTGCGAAAACTGAAAGTAAACGCAGCCAGGTCCAATTTGTTTGTCATTAAAATTGCACACAAGGCTAATGGCGAGCCGTGCCTCAGGGGTTACCTGCAACAGTAACTGCAAAAACAACGGCAACAGCAACAACTGCAACAGCAGCACAAAATGTCCTGATGACTGTCTGCATAATTTATATCTGACGGATGGTTGCCAATCCTATAGACTATATAAAAAAGGCAGCCAGATGAATGCAGATTTAAAACTTTTCATCATTGTGGAAAATGAGCAAAAACAGGCATTCGACCTTGTAACCATATGTAAGCCATATGTATGTTAATAGTATATTTATTTATATATATATATATATATATATATATGTAGATATAGCCCATAACAACTGACCTAATGAAGCCTGCTAATAACTTCCAGTCCTTTCGGACTTACTCGCTGCCTGAGAAAAATGTATTAAATTATTTGCAATTATTTTATGGTACTCGAGTTTTTATGCATATTGCCGCCAAAGTGCCAAAATTTCAGAGCAATTTAAGAATAATCAAAAAAGTTATTAGAGAATGTATTTTGCATAGTTTGAATCAAAGCGAAGCAGAAGCTGGTTGTGTGTGTGAGTTATATATGTGTATATGTGAATTTATGTGTTAGAATGCACCAAGGTTGTCTAATATGAATTATTCTAATTTAATTTAATTAACATACAAATATTGACTCAAAATAAAACGAGAAAGTAAGAATATCTTCGGCATGCCGAAGATTAAATACCCTAGTAGACATTTCCTTACGGGCTTGCAGATAACCGAGAATTGTGAAGCTCTTAAATACTGAGTTTGATGAAAATATCTTTGAAAACAGAGTATTTTTCCATACAAAAACTCGACCTATTCAGCCTATAGAGCTATATAAGACAGTGTTGCGATCTTGGTAAGATTTGGCTCATAAGTAAGTGTCATAGTTTAAATTATATGTGACCGGGTTTTGTCAAGATAATATGACAGAGATGGAGGGACCTATGCAATATGTCAAGGCGATAGCTTTAAAACTGAGAGACTAGTTCGCATAGAAACAGACAGACGAACAGGCGGACATGGTTATATCAACCCGACCATTGATGCTGATCTAGAATATATATACATACTTTATGGGGTCCGAGATGACTTCATCTATGCGTTACGACAGAATTATAAAATGGTAAATATTTATATAATATATCTTACTCATTTTTATTGACCATATATTTTCTAATACCACCTGATACATTTAATATACAAACATATTCCAAGTCGAAATCAATATTATAACACCTCCGAATTAGACGCCTAAAAAGCGGTCGTCGCCGCTGTCTTTGACTTGACAAACAAACAAAGTTCTGGCCACGTCCTGGCAACCTTGGCCGCCATAATTATGGTAACAAAAAGTTTCGCTCAATACACACCCATAAACGCACAGACACACACACGCACGCACAGGACAAGGACAGCGCCAATTAAACTACACGCACTGCCAACTGTCCTGCGCCTGGACTTGGGTCTGGGTCTGGGTCTGAGTCCCGGGCTTGTGCCTGTGCCTGTGCCCGGGACGGAGACACAGACACGGATACAGCTCAAGCAGTCGTTACAGGGTGCACGAACTGTAGTCGCGTCCGGCTGTTGTGTGTGTGTGTGTGTGTTGCGTGGGGGCGTGGCATTGCCTAATGAAACTTCAATTTACGAGGTCACGGCCTGTACGGCCCGAACGTGTGGGGCATAATTTGAGTCAGTTATTTGCTTAAAGGACTGCGGCTGCTGCAGCTGCCTAATGATTAACAAATAGGGAGTACGCCTCATACAGTGCCTGGCATTCAGTATACGCCCGCGTAGGCCCCTATTGATTTTCTCTTAGCGACAATGCTTAAATGTTAATAGGTAATTACAGCTGAGAGACGATATTGAGTCCTTGTCCTTCCATTGATATATCATAATAAATAAAACAAATACATATGCATATATATATATATGTATACTATTGTATATGTGTGTGTGGCATTGGTGTTTGGTCTAAAAAATCAATATTACGCATACGCCGCGTGTGTTGCGCACGGCAGCGTCTTAAGACCAATGTTAATCAAGCTCTTGCACTCTTTTTGCTTGTTAAGTCATTAAATGTGCTTGTGGCTATTATTTATACTCTGTGCGTTAGCCGAAAGAGAGCATATAGGTTGCGTGGCACACAGCATTTCAATTATGACTGGTTCGGGTCACACCTCAAATACACTCCCTGCTTTGAGGTTCGGTTCGCAAAAATGTCCCATAGTCCCAGTGGAATTATAGTCTTAGACTCGCATGTCCAATAATCAAGAAAACTCTTTACGGTTCTATTTTTGAACAGCGTATTTCACAGTCGGCTGCTCTCGAATGCCATGTCTTGTTTTATTTGTTTTCATTTGATAGAGCACACGACAAGGCCAACAGTGCGTACGAAAAGTTAAAGTACAGCCGTTGCATTGTTCATATCAAATCGCCTGTTAATAATCTAACAGCAACTACCAGGGGCAAGTGGCAAGTGGGAAGTGGCAGATGGGAAGCGGCAGCAGCAACTGGGGCGGCGAAATGAAAAGCAAATGAAATTAGTTTTAATTACAGCCTTCAAGTAGCTGCAACAAAACTCGTAACTCATTTCGGCCATAAACGAGGTAGCCATAGCGACCTTTGGCCCGGGCCGCGCAAATGGGGTCGCCAGCTGGGCAGCTGCTAAAGTGCCTGCCAGATTGTCTATTGCGATGGCTGCCAGTGGCAACGGGGCGCCAACACTTGACAGCTTCTGCTGCAGCGTGCAACGTGCCTGGCACTTAAATAACTTCTGGCTGCCCCATTCAGCGCGCCAATTGCCCATTCCGTGTCCAAAGTCCGACTGCGAAGTTCTGGGCTTTAATCAAAAAGCATAAAACAAGCCAGAGTGCTGTAGTCGGGCACGCTTGACTAGCAGATACCCTGCATCCAGCTGCCGTTAAAAATATTCTAACTTATTTCTCTATATAGTTCAGTCTTAAGGAAATTTTCCGGGCTTTGATATGACATAAAAAAGTGTGTATATAACAAATCGTGGGTGTATACTATATGAGAACCTACATACCAAATCTGATCTATCTAGCTCTCAGAATGTTCGAGTTAAGCTTTAAAAACCATGTGGCAAAATCGATATTTATTGATAATCCGAAAATGAGAGAAGATATCGAAAAAACCTGATCAGCTCATTCTGAGTATGGCATGGGGGATTATGTATTTCATATTTGAAGTGTTCAGCTTTTGTAGTTTTCGAGATCGTCACGTACTCACAGACGGCCTAGACGATGCATTACCTCAAACGCATAGAACTCTTTTCATCCATTTTCAATGGGTTCAGGGTATAAACACAACTTTATTTTGCCGCACAATTCTTCATTATTTGCTAAAGGCGTTGAGGGTCCGTCTGTCTGTCCGTCTATTTGTTCGTCTATCTGTCTGTCTGTGTGTGCTTGTCCACGTTAACTCAGTGGAGCATACATTTTCAACAACTTGGCAGCTGCTGCAGCAATGCTAGCCACGAAAACACCATTATCCCTGGCACATCCTGGCTGCAATTCATTTGGCGACTTGGCCAATTGGCTGCCAGTTTTGCAGTTGCTGCCCAACAGACAAATTGCTTAAGTGGAAAACACTTCAAAAACTCTGACAATGGGCTGCATTTGATCTTGGCCAATTATGATACTATTAAGTTTAATAAAGTTTCTAGCTGTAAATTGTAAATACCGTTTATTTAGTCAAATAAAGAACTGATTCACAAACTTTAAAGCTAAGATTCACTCATTAATATTTTGACGCTCTTCAAACATTTTTAATAATATGATTCTTATATATTTACATTCTCAATAATATATATATAGATATATATATGTATGCCATACAGCTTACATATTCTTGCTCATATATCTATCTATAAAACTGATTGCTTAATACAAATACGTTGACAAGATACTCTTCGTTCTCTAATTTCCCAGCTAGATCGATTTCCAATATATTTCAGTTATTTTGGCTAATCACATCCTTCAATCAAAGTTGATTATGAATTGTTTACTTTTCGCATAGCTTGACCCACTGTGCACTTGAGCTGTCCATCAGTTGCCATAGACCAAATTGCTGTGGTTTTGTGGCCTGTCTCTGTTTTAGTTGTTGTTGTAGGTGGCGGTTGTGGTTAATTAAGAAATTATGTGATCTGCCATTGGTTGGCAGCTAGCCGACCAATACTTAGCCAAACCTAATAATTCCAGTTAACAATTTAAACGACATATACGTAATTTGCCCCAAGAACTTATTTGTACGCCCTGCAAAATACTCGTGTACTCGATTATACCCTGTACCCAGAGGTAGAAGATCCCATAAGGTATTCCTGATCAGCTTAAAAAGTCAAGTCGCTATTGGGATGTTCGTCCGTCTGTCTGTCCGTTTGACTTTCCCCCAGTGTAAGCGTGTCGATCTCAAATAGCCAAATTTGTAGCGATAATTATCGATAACTGTCAAATTTAACCGCTATCAACAAAAAAAGGCAAGAATTTTCGCTATATACTCATATGCCAAAATTTTAAATTCTTGGCTATCTTCCCACGTTCCCATAAAGACACAACTTTTGGGTATTACCCGGCCTTGTCTTGCTTAAATGTTTTAGACATTATTATTCCATCCTTGCTCGTGAAAATTTTAAAAAATGTACAGAGATTTTTAAAAATTAGTTTGAAGGCAATCGGACGAAAAAAAAGAACAACCAAAGTTTTTCAAGTTAAAAAAGCGTTAATTGTATTCCCATTTTGTAACCACGAAGGGGTCAATTTTGCAATTAGTGTAAAACAACTTTCGATGAATTTTCAAAATTTCTCTTAGTAAATTTATTTGAGGTCGATTGGATGGTAAACAAAAAGTTGCCGCGAAGTTTTCGCACAATCGAGTGGAATCAGATCCCAAATAATTTGAATGTAATAATTTTAAGAAACATTAAGGTGCATACCATACATTAATATTATTAATCAAAATAATGGTAATGTAAATTTTATTTTGGCCATGAATTTTTATAAAAAACAATGCTCGAATGTTTGTAACGCCAGCTAGGCGCTGAGGAATTTTTGATTTTTTTTCGCCACATGCTGCGACAATATTTACAATTTACAAAGAGTGCGTGCGAGCGAGCGGAATCAAATAAATAAATAAAAAGGGTGGATGTTTATCTGCATAATTTCTGACTAAGTTAACAACGATTTCCCAGTCCCCTACTCGCTCTCATTCACTCATCACTTATTCTCTCTGTCTCTGTCTCTCTCTAGCGCACCAGCACATCGCTGTGGGGCGAGTGGATGGGCGTGCTGCACGGCGATGAGATTGAGTATTTCTTTGGGCAGCCGCTGAACACATCTCTGCAATATCGACCTGTGGAGCGGGAGCTGGGCAAGCGTATGCTCAATTCGGTTATTGAGTTTGCCAAGACGGGGTAAGCTTTCGCAGAGCTTTCAGTTGAGCTCTGGCTGCCATAAAACTAGCGAGTACAGCAACCAGTCTTGCTATAACGCGAGCTTTTCTCTAACGCCTTGCAGCAATCCGGCACAAGATGGCGAGGAATGGCCCAACTTTTCCAAGGAGGATCCTGTGTATTATATTTTCAGCACAGACGACAAAATTGAGAAACTGGCACGTGGCCCACTCGCCGCGCGCTGCTCCTTCTGGAACGATTATTTGCCTAAAGTCAGGAGTTGGGCAGGTGAGTAAATACCCTATAAAAGAATATTGTTCCAGGTCAATTTTATTTGTAGTAGTTGCCATAAATGCCTTTTATGCTCTGTTTGCTAGCTGTAAAGGAGTATATTTTAACTTGAATTGTATAACTGTATATACAATACTTGTGCAGATGCCCTTCAGATAAAGTATTTAAACACGGGACAATATATATCTCTTAAAGTTTAAAAACTCGACTGAAAATTGAAGTTACAGTTTTAATACCACTGCCTGCTACAGTTTGAGAGAAGTTGGTCCAAAAATCAACACGAAATATTATTTTCTTTTTATCTTTTGTATTTTTTATTATCAATCAGCTCACAGCTAAGTTAGATCCTTTTTAATCGCTGAAGTGATCACTCTGTTAAGAGAGTATTGCGCAGTCGGCCCAACGCAAGTGCAATATTTTTACTTATTTCTCTGTTGGGATTTAAGCACAGTTTCTTGACATTTTACTTCTTACTTTTGTTGCCTTATGTGTATGAATTTGGCAAGCAATTAACATACACTTTATAGATATTCTTTATGCGCGACACACGCCTCCAGCTGCTGTCTGTCTGGCTGACCGTGCCACACCCCAATAGCTCAAATTTCAGCAGAACCTATACCTGCTTATTTCCAGATACCCTGCAATATGCATAGACCATGTGATAGATGAGGATCTCAAATAACTGACTTCCTGATCTGTAGAATTTTTTTCGAATAGACAGTTGTTAAGTTTTGTAAGCCTTGGACTTGAGCGTTGTGCCGGGTTTACGATTTGGCATCAGCTGCAACTTTTCTTGTGTGCTTATTTTTAACAAACCAGTTTTGAAACAATTTTTGAACACTTTTTTTCTGGTAATTATATTTTTGTATTTGTTTTTTGTAATTTTTGCTAATTAATTTTAATAGAATGTTAGCTCTGAACATCTGATGTTCGTACGTCTTCTGTATAAATCAAAGCAATAATAGATCTCTTTATTCCATTAGCTTAGAAATTACTTTAGTTTCAATATTCTTGGCAGAAAAAAGAAAATCTACCTTACGTGCCTGAAAATATATGTGGCTTTGTCTACAGAGTCTGCGAAAAGCCAACTTGTTAATCCAAGCTCTCTTAATTTTAATTAAATATAATAATATTTTTGATATTAAAGAATTTTATGGCCTTTACTCTTTATTGTTTATTTTTTTTCAATTAAATTAATTTTTTTCATATTTTAATATTATTTAAAATGTATCATTTTAAAATAGATATATTTAATTTTTGTCACAGTATTTGGCTTGTTTCAACATTTTAAAGTAATGGGAGACGCACTGCAGGGTATGAGCGCTTCGGCTTGCTTGTAATTGTGTATATTTTATTTAATTTTTTTGCAATATATATATTCTTTTTCTGGGTCTGGTAACGCGTGTCAATTAGCCTGACAATTTGCCAGTTAAATGCAAAAATTTAACGCTAAACGCGTTCCATTTGCGCGTCAGGTTGATTGAGTATCGCACGGAAATACAGTTATGTTGCTCAGATACCCATAGATATATGTTTTTTTTTTTGGCAGTTAGTGGCGATCGTGAGTCAGAATCAGCATTTCATTTCGGTGAAAGATTTTTATAGTTTTTGCTCTTTTAATTTATTTATGCGTAGCCAGCGTTCACAATTTTATTTATGGGCAATGTCAGTATCTTAAAATGTGCTCATCAATCAGTGAAATGAGTTTCGCAGTTTCTCAGTCTCAGTCTGCGTCTGACTAACCGACTAAATGACCAACTGACAAAGCGCGAACGACTGACCGAGAAACGAAATTCAAAAATACGGCAACACACATTATGCATATGCATATATGCCAAACTGACAATGATAAATCAAGCTATATATATACACTTTAATTTAAGTTATACATCTATATTAATGTAGTTAAAAGACTTAGCTGTGTATACAAAAGATGGTAATATGCATTGGTAAAGGTGGGCGGCAGCAAATTGTAAAAGTGGCCATTAAAATGCGTGGACAAGTTTCTGTGTTGTCTGGTGAAAGATGAATCGCAGTCGCAGTCAAAATTGCTGTAGCATTCGCAGTTGTCGTTGTAGCTGCGACTGTTGCCAGTCGAAACGACTTGAACGACCGCGCCAAGATGTCTGGTCTGGTTGGGTCTAGTCTTTGGGCTATACAACTCTGCGCTCTGATACAAACGCGAATTAGTGTTTCACAAATTAATAAAACTTAATTTATGCTAATTTCGTGTATTGTTTGTGTGTGTGTGTGTATGTGTGAGTATCTGTTTCTTGAAGAGGGTATAATGATTTTCTAATTAAATTTGTAACGTGTAGTCTTCATGAAGTGTATATATTCTTGATCTGTCTATCTGCCCGTCTTCCAAACTAGGCGTTCAGTTTAAAGCTATACTTAATCCTTACATTTCTGTTGCAGACAGAGCATATGTGGGCGCTGGCCAATTGAAGCAGTAGATGCCATAGAATTGGTCCGTCACAACATTTCCTCTGTAATGTCTTAACAACATCGAGATAGGTTACTTTTCTGTTCTTTTCTTTAAGATATTTAGACCAAACCGATCCATTACATGCTTCATTATTCTTCTCAAATATCTGCAAAATCTTACCATTATAAAAATCATATAGTCTCCATAGACAAGTTTGCTCGGTAACAAGGATTCTATATAATGAAGGGTATTCATTCTCGGCGTGCCTCAGCCAGCTGTTTTTACTTGTTTTCTACTTGAGTACCATTTTACAGATAAGCCAGAGTTGGAGTATGCAAATCTAGCCAGCGGGGGTTCCCCCCTGAGCAAATGGGCTGTGCTGGCGGGAATTGTTCATGCTTAGGGCCTATATCTAAGCCATGGACTAAAAATGGCCCATAAGTAAAAGCTGAGCCACTGTGGTGTGGTGAGTGGCGGCCAGTGTGGTTACCGGTTCTCTGGCTAATTAATTAATTTGCATTTTGATATGTAGTGGATGATATATTTTATGGGCATCGCAGCGCTTGCCAACACGCGCTTTATTTGCCATAATGAGCATTTAAAATTTCACCAAAAAATGTCAGCGCGGTTTGTGCTAATCCACTTAAAAAATAACATAACTGGTGCCGCGCCTCGTCCTGAGCGCACCAGACTGGCTGGCACCACACACACACATGCAAGCAATCAGTTTATCATTATCGACAGCCCATGCAAGCCTTATGTCGAAGCGTACGACCAGATACAGATACAGAGAAACACAAACAGACAAAGATATAGATCCAGATACAGATACAGAGAAACACAAACAGACAAAGATACAGATCCAGATACAGATACAGATACAAGTACAGAGATACACAAACAGATACAGATACAGATACAGATACAGATACAGATACAGATACAGATACAGATACAGATACAGATACAGATACAGATACAGATACAGATACAGATACAGATACAGATACAGATACAGATACAGATACAGATACAGATACAGATACAGATACAGATACAGATACAGATACAGATACAGATACAGATACAGATACAGATACAGATACAGATACAGATACAGATACAGATACAGATACAGATACAGATACAGATACAGATACAGATACAGATACAGATACAGATACAGATACAGATACAGATACAGATACAGATACAGATACAGATACAGATACAGATACAGATACAGATACAGATACAGATACAGATACAGATACAGATACAGATACAGATACAGATACAGATACAGATACAGATACAGATACAGATACAGATACAGATACAGATACAGATACAGATACAGATACAGATACAGATACAGATACAGATACAGATACAGATACAGATACAGATACAGATACAGATACAGATACAGATACAGATACAGATACAGATACAGATACAGATACAGATACAGATACAGATACAGATACAGATACAGATACAGATACAGATACAGATACAGATACAGATACAGATACAGATACAGATACAGATACAGATACAGATACAGATACAGATACAGATACAGATACAGATACAGATACAGATACAGATACAGATACAGATACAGATACAGATACAGATACAGATACAGATACAGATACAGATACAGATACAGATACAGATACAGATACAGATACAGATACAGATACAGATACAGATACAGATACAGATACAGATACAGATACAGATACAGATACAGATACAGATACAGATACAGATACAGATACAGATACAGATACAGATACAGATACAGATACAGATACAGATACAGATATCTCTGAGATATCTCTGTATCTCTGTATCTCTGTATCTCTGTATCTCTGTATCTCTGTATCTCTGTATCTCAGTATCTCTGTATCTTTGTATCTCTGTATCTCTGTATCTCTGGATCTCTGTATCTCTGTATCTCTGTATCTCTGTATCTCTGTATCTCTGTATCTCTGTATCTCTGTATCTCTGTATCTCTGTATCTCTGTATCTCTGTATCTCTGTATCTCTGTATCTCTGTATCTCTGTATCTCTGTATCTCTGTATCTCTGTATCTCTGTATCTCTGTATCTCTGTATCTCTGTATCTCTGTATCTCTGTATCTCTGTATCTCTGTATCTCTGTATCTCTGTATCTCTGTATCTCTGTATCTCTGTATCTCTGTATCTCTGTATCTCTGTATCTCTGTATCTCTGTATCTCTGTATCTCTGTATCTCTGTATCTCTGTATCTCTGTATCTCTGTATCTCTGTATCTCTGTATCTCTGTATCTCGGTATCTCTGTATCTCTGTATCTCTGTATCTCTGTATCTCTGTATCTCTGTATCTCTGTATCTCTGTATCTCTGTATCTCTGTATCTCTGTATCTCTGTATCTCTGTATCTCTGTATCTCTGTATCTCTGTATCTCTGTATATGTATCAACTGCAACGTGCGGCAGCAAGTGAAATTTGTTGTAGTTGTTAGTTTAAACCACTTGCCAGGAGCAAGCAGGACGAAACTTTTGCACGCGGCTTGCCCCACACATATCAAAACCAAGAGAGAGAGAGAGCGAGTGGGAGCGAGCGATTGGCAGAGACTTTTGCCGATCTCTCTCGCTTCCATTCCGAATCTCCAGCCGATAACCAAAGATACAGAGATACTGAGATACAGAGATACAGAGATACAGAGATACAGAGATACAGAGATACAGAGATACAGAGATACAGAGATACAGAGATACAGAGATACAGATAAAGATACAGATACAGATACAGATACAGAGATACATTTAGAGATACAGATACAGATACAGATACAGATACAGATACAGATACAGATACAGATACAGATACAGATACAGATACAGATACAGTTGCAGATACAAAGCTGCGGGTAGCGACAATTGCCGTTTGTCGTAACTCAGGCCCGATGACTGAAGTCGATGCTCAATACTCGATACTCGATACCCACAAAACGCGCTGTTGCCATACATATTGTTGTTGATACGCAGTGTGTGTATCTTTGTATCTTTTGCATTTGTATAAGCTATTATGGCCTGGTCTTTTCTCTGTTACGTTTTGTTTGATTTGCGCTGCTTTTAGCGACACGTGTTTCAAATGTTCACATTGTTAGTATCTTTTATATATTTATCTTTTTTTTTTGTATTTGTCGCGCTCGCTTGTGCCAATTTATTTCTTGATTATCTGCGCATAAAATCTACGAATTGGTCAGCCTTTTAAATTCAAATTAGCGGGCATTAAATGCACGCGACATGCTTGCCCTGCGGTTGAACTGGGCAAAAGATACAAATCTATATATATGTATTTATTATATATGTATAGATTAATTATATTTTTATTGGAGATTTATGGTTTTAGCTAGATTTTGTAATTTATTTGTTATGCTCACATTAAGGGAAACAAATGTATCTTAAAATATTATTCGAGCACAAAATACAAACATATAAAATACTAATAGTAAATAGTAAATAGAAGTATCTAAATTGGAATCAAGCTAAATATACAAATACATTTATATATACAACTGCATAAATACTATTATGCATTAACTGTTTATATTGAAAATTATTATTTTTACATTTTGATTAAGAAATTAATATGTTTTGCTGACAATTAGTAAAACAAAAGTATTTCATATTATTAACAGGGCGAAAGATACAAAGAAACAGAAAGCTTGATATGCAAATTTGCTTGTGTGGCTCAGATATAGATATAGATATCTAAGATAGTTGCAGGGCAGAAGCTAAAAGGTGCAATAATAGAAATTGTATTTACATTTTTATTTTATTTATTTACTTATGTTGATTAGATAGAAGTTGAATATAAATAAATTAAAGTATCTATATAAATAACAGGGCAAAAATAATAAAAAAAAAAAAGGTATACAAATAAAGCAGATTGGTTTGGAAAGATGTCTTTGATAAATAAATTTATCTTAGATAGATAGATAGATAATCAGGGAAAATTATAAAAGTATAAAATATACAAATAATGCATAATGGTTTGGAAAGTTTTTTTCGTTGCTTGAATATTAATAAATGATATGGTCTTAAATTTAAGAGATACAAAAATTTCAGATTCATTTGAAAGCTACACTTAGAAAAAAATGTCTGAGATAATATAATGCACAGTTGATTTAGAGTTCTATTTATGTTGGTTAGATATAGATAAATAAAAGTGTCTAAGATTGTATTAGATACAAATAATGCAGATTTGTCTGGACATTTATTGGCGTAGCTTAGATATAGATACATTAAAGTAGATTCGATATTATCAGGGCAAATATAAAACAAACAAATAGATTTTGAATTTATATTATCGGGGAAAATACAAAAGATACAATTAAATTTTGAATTTAATACAAACATATACACCTTATTTTATGCATTGATTTTATTTATAGAATAAGTTTTGGTGTATTAGTCCATATTTTAAATTTATTACAGCTTTATTTTGAAACTTATTTCTGTTACCTACAAGTAGAAAATTTAAAGTAACTTTTGATTTGTGTAAAACCCGCACATGCACTTTAACTAAACACACCCGCTAGCTGCAAGTCCTTATAGAGAGGCATTTCTATCTGAAAGATACCGGCCGTCTTTAAGATTTTACTTTTGCCTGAAATAAAGGTCAAGTTTGCTATCTTCATGTATATATATATATATATATATGAATATATGAATATATATATATATAAGCCGCTAGATCAGTTGAACATCGCGACATCGCTGTTTATATATCTCGTTGGACAATCTTGAGTTGTTTTGTGCGAAATCGAAATTCGATCGGCTGGCTCAGCTGCTGTTGACGAACAAGTTTGAAGCGAATTAGCACGCAAAGCGGTTATAAATCTTAATGTATTTTGTATAATGAAGCGATATGCGTAAATAAAAACATAAAGAATCATAGCGCAAAACCAGACAAATTGCTAGGACTTTTAGTTAAGGTAAGTTCGCGTGAAATTCGTTTAAGTTGCTCGATCTATCGACTTATCGATATATCGATTTCTTGATTTCAATGCACCAAAAATCGCACCAAAAAGTCAACTGCTTGCATTTCTTTTCTTATTTTCCTTTACTTCTATAATTGGCATTTTTTTCTTTTTGATTATTCATATATACTTACGAATATCTCAATCAAAATATTATAGCTCAGGTAGCTAGAGGTTGATTTTGCTTTTACGTTGACCAAGACAAGGCCTTCAGGTGTGGAAGGCAATAGTCTTGGTTTTAGAACAAGGCTGTAAGTCGGAATTCAAATTTTTAATAACCATGAACCGAACCTTAGACGGGATTAGTTGAAGAAAAAAAATACGAAACTTTACCTGAACCTAACTATATTTATTTTGGTTTGGCAAAAAATTTAAAAAATAATTTTAAATATTATTGCAAAGTTTTAAGTTTCTGCGCCTTAAATATAAAAAGTCAATTGCGCTTAATAAAAATATATAATATAATAAACTGAATTGTTTGTATTGCATTTTAATATAAATAGAGCAAAATTTTAAACCTTGGCCTGGTTTCACGAACCGAACCATTGAAGGAGTCATTGGTTCGAACCGTGAACCGAACCATTAAACATATTTTTGTTGAGTTTGCAGGCTTGCTTTCCAATATGGCGAATACGTTTTTCAGAACCGCCCCATACGTTTATTCCATCAAATCATTTTCCCCCAAATAAAAAACGACCATGTACATATGTATGGATCGTATAGAAGGTATATTAATCGCGCATTTCTCTCGCTTATTTTCAGGCTCGGACTGTGATTCGGGCAGTGCTTCCATATCGCCCCGAATGCAGCTGCTGGGACTCGGACTGGTGCTCTACATTTGTGCCGTGCTGCGGACTATAGGAGTTTTCTAAAAGAATTTTTGGCAGTGTAATCACAGCACATCGATAAGTCCACAGCATCCACACACACAGACACACGCACACCCAGAACTCCCAAACAACCAAACACCCTTTAAGCAAAGCAAACACAAAACTTATATTATAATATTTAGAAAGTGAAATTGTCATACAAGTATGTAAAGAGATAGGAAAGTGAAAAGGAAATAGAAAGAGAGAGAGAGAGAGAGAGAGAGAGAAGAAGAAAATTGGAGTTTTAAAATTTGAGCCATGATTTTGTATACTTGGCCACCCACACAGCTGAACATTTGTAAATGAATTTAGTGTTGCATGCAACTGCAACGTGCGGCAGCAAGTGAAATTTGTTGTAGTTGTTAGTTTAAACCACTTGCCAGGAGCAAGCAGGACGAAACTTTTGCACGCGGCTTGCCCCACACATATCAAAACCAAGAGAGAGAGAGAGCGAGTGGGAGCGAGCGATTGGCAGAGACTTTTGCCGATCTCTCTCGCTTCCATTCCGAATCTCCAGCCGATAACCAGAGAGTCCACATAGATAACCACACGCAAACACACACACCCGAAGACACTTTTGTAGCACGCCGCAAATTGCTTTGTACGAAAATGAAAATTGGCAAAAGCCCAATAAAATAACTGATTCTAACGAGAATTCAATCAAGCGAAAACAAAGATTTTGATAAATTGAATGTTTGTCATATGCCAGCCAGCAGGGCATAAAACAACACAAATTGCAAATACAAAAAAACAAAAAAAAAAAAACCCACTCGCTCAGAGAACGCGTATTTTGCCAGCTGGCATGGGTCCAAGTCTGTGCCCAGGCCGTAATCCCAAAACTTTTTGGAATGTCGAGTATGCTATAGAGTTTTTTCGATTTTATGATAGCTCCCACCCCTCACAATGAAACTGGTTTCAGATTTGTGTTGGGAATGGTTCAATATTTGGCATATACAGTATTTTTTCTCTCTCGGTATTTTATTGTTTTCACTTTGGGCACACCAAAAATGTTCTTATGACAACAAAAATTTGAAAAAAAAAACAGCAACAAAAATGAAAAACATAAGTAAATTTGTATTATTAAAACGATGTGAGAGTTTTAACGAGAATTGCAAATTTTTTGTAATAAGCAGCCCAAATCGGTCAAAAAAATGAATATAAATTGAAATAAAGTTTGTAGGAAACCTATTGAAACATTAAATGGCAAAACATATCAGTATATATTATATAAACAAATATATATACAATAAATGTAATACATCTATATATATATAGTATACATATATGTATGTACATGTATTATTGCATTTGTACTAAACGTTTTACAAATTGGCTTAGTGAGAACAACAACAAAAAATCAAGTAAATGGATATAATTAAAAGTTTTATACACTTAGCTAAATTCGAACCAGAAATAAAACTTAATTTAAATAAAAATTAAATACAAATGTGCTGTATGTTGAAGTTTGGTATGCCTATATCTATAAATAAAAATATTTCAAATAAATATAAACGAAAGAAATTAATTATAATAATCAAAGTAATTGTCAAAGCAGCGTAAGCAAATATAATACATATGCATACTTACATAGCTCAGTGTACGTACGTATGGGATCTTATTGAGTGCAATTAGAATGAATCATAAGTCTTAAGGGCATATCAGTACTCGTATTAACAACTATTGAGAGCGGACATTTTTCGAAATTAACTAACCTAAGCCACACTGATATAAACTAAGTTATTTTTATTATTAAAAAAAAAAACTATTATGAAATATACAGACACAAAACATACACAGCATGCAGCTAAAATAAAAAGTATTGGACTTATAAAGAACAGACGAACAATTAATAAAAATATATATTAAGACGAAACCAAAGAGCAGTAACTGTTCTTACATCTACGAGTACATAAATGTATATCTTAAAAAAAATACAAAAAGAAAAATCGAATAAAAACAATTATAATTGAATATTATGTATTGTTTTTACAGCTGTAAGTAAAAGTGGAATATTATATGTATGTCAAGCCTATTTGAGCGATGTTCGCTTTCAACTGTAGCAACTAGGGAAAATTCAATGTGAAATTTAATGAGAATAACAATTACTTAGGACACTATATACATAACTACTTATAATTAAGGTTGGGTTAGCAAGGGATATGGCTGCATAAACGTATGTATTTGTGGCTCCTGTCGAACCAACCTGCCAAATGCTGGACTCACACTTAATTTAAGCTATTAACTATTCTGTTAACCTTCTGAACACACAACAGCAACTATTACTAGAACACCAAAAAGGCAAGCAACGATAGTAAAGCTCACTTATGAAACTAACTGCATACCGAATATATTGGAAAAATATTAAAAAAGAGTTGAAAGCTAATAAAATAATAATAGTTAGCTTAGTAATTCAACATTGCCCTACAAGGAAATGGAAATCTATGATTATAATAAATGCAAAAGCGAAGAACACACGTACTCGTATCTAAAAATAACAAATTAACAATAATATATGAACTCATTCCTAATTTTATAAATTATCAATCGATTCAATTACTTTTGAAAAACAATTTTGATGAAAGCGTAAGAACTTAACGATTTTTAAGTATATGTGAACATTTATATTTTTATACCATGCAAGGCAAGCCGTATTGAAACCAAATGCATTAAAATATTTAATAAATAATATCAAAAATTAATATGAAAGCCTAAACCAAAAAAAAAACCAAAAAAATAAGACATTTTTTACTGCGTGTTGAAAACAATGTATGGCAAGAGTTGAACAAATTAAAAAAAAAGAAAACTAACTCCAAATAAATTAGCTTTAAACGAGTAAAAAAGTGACCCCTAGCCTAAGCCCAATCCCTTTCAAGACAAATGCACAATCTTTCGAGAATTTCTATTGGTATTCCAGCTGGGAAATCGTGCCCGGAGAAGCCAATTGCTGTAGGCATATGTGTATCTGTATGTGTCCGTACTAGGTGCGGCCCAGCGAATGGTGCAAGGCCGGGTTATACGGTGCACCTCCAATGCCAAAAGGACTCGGCATTATTTGTGGCATTCGCTCGGCCCATTTATTCATGTGTAGAACGCATTAGGAACTTAATGTAATAAATGTAAAAAAAATAAGGAATTTACTGTGTATTATGCCTTTTGCCTTTTCAAACAATTGTGTAAACAAAAAATTGTTCAAATGCAAAGTATTTTAATATTTAAATGTTGTATGCATATCCTTGATTTTGTTGATATCTATTTTCATTGCATTAAACCTCCCTACCCAACCCCCACCCCCCTGATCAACTGAGAAATATATATTTTGTCATTTTGCATGGTTTTCGGCTCAAGCCAAAGAATTGACAATATAATATTTCGCCTTAGAAGCAAAGGAGATAACGAATGAGAGACAAATTCCAAGTGTTATGCTTATAGATCTAAATTTTTATATACATGAGGACACACACGCACACACGCACACTCACACACACGCGCATCTCGCATCTACAATAATTTGGTAAAGGAAAAAAACAATTTGAAATATAATTTAATATTTTATTTTCTGTTGCCGTTCTTCCAAACGTTTAATATATATATATATATACAAATATATATATAATTAATAGTGAAGAGCACTCAAAATATATCCACAGTGTGCTTTTGATATTGTAGTCTGCTATTTGTAAAAGAATTTATATATAGTATACATTATAGTGCTAATAGCTATACTAAACATATACTTATGATAATAATGCAAATAAAGGATATACTAAATGCTGTTTACATTCAAAACTCCAAACATACATAAAAAAACATACTGCATAGAAACTACACACACTTCAAGCTCTTTCTTCCCCGTGCAAAAACCATATCCGACTTATATTAGTTAAGCGTCTATAGGAAAAACAATAAAATAACTTAAAGAAATGCAGATATAGTCAATGTTCTTAAGTTGTTTTAATGGTTTTTAGTTTCTCTCGAATACAAATACAATGTTCAGTTTTGGGTTTATTGTATTAAGAAAACGTTACTAATTATATCAGCTACGACATCTGATAATAAAAAACACGGTTCTAGATGGTAGACGACAAGTGTACAATGCATGTTAAACGTTGATTGCGATCAATGCAGAAATACTTAGAAAAAGAAGAAGAAATACTCAAAAATACACTCACACACAAACACACACATACACAATGTTAAAAGCCAAGCACAGAAATGCATTTGAGGATTAAACATACCAAACACTTATATAATAGAACAATACTGCATATAACTCACACATAGTATATACCAGAAAAATACTAAAACCAATAAGCTAAACGATAAAAGAATAATAATAATAAAAATAGAAAATATTCACAAAAAAAAATTTACTTACACTTAACGAATGTAAAAGCAAGTTTGATAAAGTTTGAGCACGGTTTTTTTTAAAAAGTGTAAAAATCAAATACATATCAACATATGGCCTATTGTTTATTTAGTTTAATTATATAATTATTAATTTGTGAATTACTGAATTCAACAAAATAAAATCAATATTGCGAAATAAATGAATTAATTATGTAATTATAATATTAAAGCTGCAAATGTAAGGCTCTGATTTATGACTTTTTAAGTAGGCAATTTGTAAAAATTAAGCAGCTAATTAGAAACGCAACTCAAATATATATAACTGTAACTGTAACTGTGTAAAAGTGTTGCTAAAAAAAGAAAACAAAAAAACAAATTGTGGTTAAATATGTGTTCTTACTTGTTAGTGGTAATAAAAGCCAAACATAGACAAAAAAATAAATAAAAATGAAAATGAAAAATGGAAATTACCTAATTTAAATATTAGCATAATAACTATGTTGTGTAAACATTCACGACTAAATAAAGCCAAATAGAGCTTTTATCATGCCAATAATTTTGATATGTTTTATTTATTATCGTATCCTATTTTCAAGTCTGCTCCTAAGTTCCAATTTGTTCAACTAACTATGCACACAAATGCAAGCATATATATAAAATTTACCGTATTTTTTTGCTAGTAGTTGCCACCCCAAAGTTAATAATAGATTTATTTCTACAAATAACACACAATACTTACCTTAAAAACAAAATAAAGTAAAATAAAATAAAACCTCTTAACTCAGCAGCTCAGCATAATAATTGTCGTAATTCCGATTTGACGAATAGAAATAATATATATCGAAAACGAAGAAAATAAATCAAACATAGAAAACTATATATGTATGTAATTATCTACACAGATATTATATGGCAGCTCCCATTTAGTTGATTGTAATTGAGTATCCTTTGCGAGGCGCTTTAGTGTTCAGCAAAATTGTATTTGTATATTAAGAAAGTTATGGAAATGCATTTGTTTATGTATGTGTCTATAGTCGAACGATTAAATTATAATTATTATTGTCGCAGAAATTACTTTAAATTTAATGGGAAAAGAAAACACATACCTATATACACACACAAACACACACACAAAGCATATAATTAATGTCTAAGAAGAATATACACTGTATACACAAGATACATAAATACATATAGAAAATTATGTCATGAGCATACAAAAAGTAGGGATCATTTTACTGAATATTTATATATATATATATAAATTATACTATATGTAATCTAACAAAAAAATATAAGTAAATTCTGCTAAAAAACACAAAGAAAGAAAATAGTAAAAAACGAAAACAAAACCAAATGTAAACCAATCATGAACAATTGCTAAATACGTTTTTCTATAATTCAAGGAAGCAAAAACAAAAAATCTATGAAGAAAATTGTAAACAAAAGTAAATTTATAAATGAAAATGAAACAAAATCTAAATGAAATTATATTATACGAATATATTGTATATCGAAAAAAGATGAATATAAGTCAAATAAAACTTATGTATCATGTATTAAACAAACAACACTTAATTAATCCGTTGAAAATGTGTTATAAAGGGTATACGGATTTGTGCAAATGTATGCAACACGTAGAAGGAAGCATCTTCGATTTATAAGAGAATGGATATTCCTGTTCAGGTCGACGAGCGGAGTCGGTTTAGCCATGTCTTGCTGGTATATTCTCGTATATCATCAGCAAAACAAATATCATATTTTTTATATCTAGCCTTATTCTACTGATATCAATAAATATCGATAATGAAAGTAGATATTGTCATCTTTACTTGATGATTTTAATAGCTAGAATCGCTAAACTTGGCATGTTTCCGAATTGTAATGTACTTTTTGGATACATTCCCCGTTCTCTACAAAATTGAAAATAAAATTCATTTCGAAAACTGGAGCCTTGTGTATTGGGAATCTCCCACCTTTGGGTGCAATATTTAATACCTAGAAAGTTCATAAAGATCGGACTATAAGCACCGAAGTTAGTCAAGAATGCTTGTGGCAGAGTGTGAAGCTAGGGAATGCTACAGCACAGCTACTGCGTATTTGTGTATAAAAGTAGGTTGGATAGTTTGCAGCTTCAGTTCAGCACTGGGTATCTGCTAGTCGGGCAATTTCACCTGCAGCTCTCTTGAGAGATGATAAATGCGATTCGTGGCATTCATCAATTACTCATAATTTCAGGAAGCTCTTGGCTGAATAGCTCGCTTTATGGCCTGCTAATTACTAGGCAATGCGACTTTACATGGAATCAATAATAAAAAAATGAAAGAAAGAAAACAACTGAAATGATAAACACCAAATAAAATCGCTTATTTATGGGCGACTTATGCACATTAGTTAAGCATTGAATATTTTATTTAATATGCACATAAATTCAACTGCAATTAGCTTCCGTATGCAGCCGTCGTAAGCCCCAATTAATCAACTCAAG